ACGAGCAGCCAATCTCAGAAAACCGGCAACCCTCTTTGCTGTTCAATGTCGTTGAATGGTTCTGTTAAAAACAGCCACAAAATAATAAGTACCAATGTCAAGGGTTTCATTATGTACTACAATCCACTAGGCCAGATCCTCAGTTGGTGTAAATCAGGGTAGTTCCATTGAAGTCTATGGAGCAACCTCACTGAGGGTCTGGCCTCACACTGTATAGCAAAACCAAAGGTAATTCATTTACATGCTGCCGGACAAATCACCAAGTCTTGAACTGATGACCAAGCGATTTTGTCATGCACTGCCATGTGTGAGGCCTAGGTTCCATCTCTAGTCACCGGTGTCCTGAAATTTGAGCAGGTGGGATTGAGACCACAACCAAGGACATATCTAGCCTATGCTGACAGTAATTATATTCTGTTGTGGATGCCTGTAACAATGGCCTGCACTGCAAGCTTCTTAAGTACTGTTGATTTTATATATCACTAAGAAGGGCCACTTTCTGCAGCACTCAAATCTGGGAAATCCACTAACACATGGGGCAAGAGGGATGATGGTGGATTACCCCCAACACAGCCTTGCATGCAACCAAGTGCCTATTCAAGCCCTACGTGCTGTACACACACTAAAAACAAAACAAGGATTAATATCCTTAATACAAATACAAAGACTCCCTCCCAAGTCTCAGTATAACATAGACCCAAAAATAATACAATATAATAAAACCACAATCATCAGCAGGTGACAACTCCTCTATAACATCCCCCCCCACCACCATATTAAAGAAGCCAACCACAAAGAATAAGACCCCACGCCCAGTAACTCAAAATCCTTAACTTTGCTCTTCCCAGAGAAGCATGGAGAAGTGTGCTTTGCAACACACTCTAAAGGGTGACCCATTCTCTATCACACCAAGGGGTCTGAGATTAGAATCCAGCCCTCTCCCTCTGCACCCAAAGGCACATGTCTTTTTAAGAAGTTATTTAGTGTCATCTGTGTTGGAACAGCACTTGTATTGCTCACCAGATTTCCCCTGAGTGTTGAAAAGGAAGTAAACAAACAAACAAAACTTCCAAGGTTTTAGGAGAAATCCTAAATAAGGGGGTGGTGAGGGTGAATCAGCACAACTGATCTTCGGATGTGAAAAGCTCCCGGCTACTGTTGCCATACGGAGATGCCATGAAGTTGCTTGAGTCAGCCAGATGAAGAGCTGGCACTTCAAGGAACAGAACAAAAACAATACGTTGCCCTTTCACGTTTTACCTACCTTTTCCTTTGATGGTCCTTCTGTGTGCATCCGTTTTTGTTCCTTCGATGAATTGCCTTCACACGTGTGCTTCTGTCATTAAAGTAAGACGACAGAGTGTTGCATACAATGCTAAAATCATGATGCTTCCTTACCTAGGTCTCTATGAAATACAATCTCTTTGTGTATTACGTCATATTATCCCCATTTTACAGAAAAGTGAGCTCTGGTGAAGTTACTTGCTGAGAGCCTCCGGTAAACTGAATCAGGTCTGAGCTAGCAAATAAGAGTTGCACATTCAAACCCTGTTTCTGGAACAGATTTACTAGGAGGCCTGGGGCAAGTCACTTAACCTTGCACAGCCAAATTCAGCAGCGGTATGCCAACAGTAACTTAGATTCCCTTGCACTTATGTAGTCTTCCTTAGACCTACCAATGTCCACACATTTGAAGCATAAGGGAGTCTCAGGAAGTGTAATTTACATGACAAAGAGCTGGGGGGAAAGCATAAATTAAAATAGTACTGACCTCTATTCACTTTCACATGGTTTGAGTGAGTTAAGTAGGTCTTAAGGAAACTAAACCTTTCTCCAAAGATCAGGGAAGTCCATTGACCTTAAGAATATGCTTTTACTGCAGAATTAACCTGGGCTCTTATTCGGGTGTTGTGCCTAACCCACCCTCCCATCCACACACAAAAAACTCTGGCTCGAGTTTAGTGGCACATTCAGCCTGAGCTAGCTGGCCCATCCTAGGGTAGGCTGAAGGCTGGGTGAGGCTCTCATTTAGACTGGTAACCTGCCCACCCACTTTGCAGGAGGATGCAGGCTGAACCATTCAAGTGCTGATAGTCCTCCAGTGCTTGCCCACAATTCTCCCAGGGTACCCAGATGGACAGAAAAGTTCTTCCACAATTCACATGAAAAGAATCAAAGAGCAGCTCATCTTCCTGCAACACAAAGAACCATGGGATATGCCCCCCTGCCCCAATATAGTTGTAATGTATTTCTCTCTTTTCTTGTTATATTTTAATGGCCTTCAACCCAGCAATAAAGCTCACTGGTTGTTTGCTATGGGGGGATCTTTTCTGAACAAAACTTCTTTCTAAAAGATAATCAGAAGGGAGGAGAACAGCACTAATGCCATATTATGGGAGAAAGATTTGCAAAACCTTTCTGTGTATCTCTGTAGAGTTCTCAAGCTTTTCTTTACAGGGAATAATGTTCAGAAACTTGGACTAAAGAACTAATATTAATTGCTGCTGTCCACTGTATGATAAACTGCAGACCTAGAGATTTCCCAAGCTAAACTGCTAAGCCAATTACTCTTCTTCCTCGCATAGTAGGTATTTTCAGTCAGGGAGTGCCAGATGTGGTACCTGTTAAGTGAAAGTACAGAGTGTGATGTTTCACATGTGGGGCCCAGCACTTTCAGAAATGACTTACAGATGCTTCACACAGTATTCCTGGAAAACTCAGTCTAGGCAATGTACTAGTCTCACTCAGTTCAACCCTAATAATCGCATTTATATGCGGTTACATGCAGGTGAACTGTGGACCAGAAAGCAAATATACATATAAACTCTCCATGCATTGGCTTCATATAGCTTGGGTTTATGTTCAGAGCTGTCTCAGATCTCATTCACTAACACACTGAAGGCCGGAGGTTCCTGACATGATGTGCTAATGCAGAATGCATTAGTGCTAACATGAAACTCCCTGACCCTCTTGGCTCAAAAGAGATGGGGAAAATAATCCCCAGACACTGGTTCATACCATGACTGTAGTTTGTGTATTTTAACATAGCGACTCTCAAGCTTTCAATTCAAACTATTCAGAGGTTTCATCTTTCATCTTTATAAACGCCTTTGCTCACCAGTACATTTTCTTTAGCAGTCTGGAAAGTTCGTATAGCATTGCAGTTCCAGGAACGCACAAAGTATCTTCTCTGCAAAGCGTCCCGAGGTCCCCATTTTAGCTCCACAAAAACACATCCAGAGGTCTTTCCTCTCCCCTTGGCACTTTCTGAACACTCTATATCTCAGACATTATTTATAATGTGCCTTTGTTTTATTCTTTATCCTAGTCTGTTTGTTCATGCAACTTTGTCCTTTTCAGTTTCTTTTTTGATATGGTGGAACCCAAAATCAAATGAACGTAAGATTGACATATAAAAGCTGCCATTAACACAAGTCTGAAACATGCTGAATCTGGATGCTAAGAATTATACAGAGGAGAAAGTCACGTATCTGATAGGGTTTTCTATTTGCTCCTAGAGTATTCTGGGTAAATGAAGTTTGGGCACATAAACAGAGCTAGCATACCAATAGCCTCAAATTTAGCTAATCAGATCATATAATCTGTGAAATTACAATTTTATAAGCATTAAACAGGCTTTCAAAAAGCAAATGAACCTGGTTCACGACATGGTACAGCAAACATGATTTCCCACAGGACTGGTCTGTAGCCAGATCACAAATACCGTCTCCATCATTCCAGTAACAGATAGAGGTGATGGAAATCGGAAGGGATTTGCTACCGTAGATCAGATCATGGGTCTATTCTGTCCAGTCTTCTCACCTCATATTCAGGACAGATGAAAAACACCCATAATGCATTAGGACAATTACACATTGTTGAGAGCGGGTTGGCAGAACACAAATCTCCTTGCAACTCTTCCCTCCACACATGGCAAGTGGCTCACAACCTCAAGCAGAGGCTCTGAAGCAGCGGAGAAGCAGAGCATCCCTCTCTCTTCCCCACTCCCCTTTTAATCTTTTAAACCAGGATTCATGGAGTGTTGAGCTGGTGTCTGCTCTGGAGACTGGGACACACTATTCACAGAACAAGCAAAGCACAGGTGGTGGCTGAACAAGTGTCCACACCCTGACCTGCCTATGTACCAACTCCCTGGCCCTGTTGAGAAGGCATTCCAGTCTCCATAGCTCATTCATTCCTTGAGTTCTTTGCTGAAGCTGACAAAGAGGTTGTCATTTGGGAAGGCATTTTTTGTGCTAGGGTTAAGGGTATTAAACTCACTTCATATAGGCCACCAAGGAATCAGCAAATGGTAGCAACGTTTGGTTGCTACTGACCTGCATTAGACTAGGCAGAGGAGCTCCTATTTTATATTCCCTGTTGTCAATTAGGGTAAAAAATTGATTCCAGCTGCACTGAAATTGTTTTCAGTGGAAAATACTCCAGGTTATAAAAATAAAAGAGATGCAAACAGCTTCTTCTCATAGATTACATACTTGCGAAACGGAATACGGGAACTACTGATACATGGAAGGCAACATTTCAAGGCCAGTCTCCCTACCAGGTTGCCAAGATTTCCTAACAAAAAACCGTATTAGATAACAGATTAAACAGGACGAAGGAAATGAAAACAATTCTTCACCATGGGAAAAAAGAAACCAAATAACCTCTGAAGGCAAACCTACTGTATCACACACATCTGAAGAGAGGAGCAAGGTGAATCAAAACACCGTGCTCAGACCTCTCTCTCCAGGTAACAGAGTATCAGTATGCCTCCTGCACTTTCAGAAGGGTTAAAGTGGTTAGATGTTTCCACTTTCAGTTGTTTGCTCTTTTTGAAACACTCACTGACATACTAGTGGTAGAAAGTGCCTGTTTGACAGCCCAGCAGGCTGAAGTCAGCTATTCCCTCTCCCATCTCCCCTCCCTCCCCTCCGCCACGGAACTGGTGAAAAACGAGCAGCAGCTGTGCAAGCTTCCTACACAATCTTTCCCAGCGAGTGTGCCTCATTCCTGCTACGGAGAGACCACTTCCATAGAAATGAGAGGGGAGTTGAGTCTCCATAACCTGTTCAGTTCTTGGCAAGACTGCAAAGGCGGCGAGCAATTAGTGACAAATGTGACATGGAAACGTGCCCATCGTTATTTTTCCCCTCACTATCCTGTTGGAGCCTTCCACATTACAACTCTCCCACCATCTCTGTCGAAATGGCCGTCCTTCCAGGATGTAATTCCTAGCCGGACAATGATTCTCCTTAAACCACCTGGAGGGTCAACACTTTTCAGTCCTCCATCCCAACCTGCAAGCTGAGTGCAGCCTCTGCAGCATCCCTAGTCTGCAGGCTAAGAGATCACAGAGTCTACAGCTAGAGAACTGAACTACATTTTGAGAACTTTCAACGCAAATCAAAACAGTTACTGCAGCTTTAGCAATGATACAGGTATGACAGTTCTTATATATCCTGCTACTGCTTTTGGCTTAGGAGTTTTATCATGAACTTTTACAATTAAAAAGACGATGATAAGATGTGTACCAGCTAAGCTATCTGTATAGATCAGCAACTATCTTCCCATCCCTTTAACTCCACCCAGCTACGCTGTTTCTGCCTTCAGCCACACAGTGTACTATATATCAGCTAGTGTATTGTCCTTAGGCCACCCCCATCAGCACAACCTACTGTACTGTGGTGCACACACAAAAAGGATGGAATCAAAGGCACTGGGGTAATTTTTTAGAATAAAGAATTAGTTACGCGTCTGATATAAGGTTGCCCTCTTGTAAGAAATTCTAAGCAGGAAGTGAGAAATGCATTTAAATTAGAGTGATAGCAACCTGCATGGACCTGGCACAGTAATCAAAGAAAACAAATGATCAGTTACCATTGGGGCAGGGAAGTTTTTGTTGGGTTTTGTTTTTTAACCTGGACTGACTTTCGACAGACACATCTGGTGGGGGGGTCTTCATTTTATATGTATTGAAAGGTCCTCAATTACAACAGTGATAAGCATAATGTAAACATATAAACAAAATTAAATATGCCTGAACAGTCCTAAATGCTACAGATAAGAGAGAGATTTCAGAATGAATTTACAATGTAGTCACTGCATTGGGCTCTGCCTGGGATCCACAGATACCGTTGATTTGGAAAGTTAGTAGATTCCAAGGCCAGAGGGGACCATTGTGATGATCGAGTGTGACCTCCTGTATAAGGCAGGCCATAGAACTTCCCCAAAATAAAGTTAAAGCCGATGGCATCTAGTATAAATATTGTCTGAATAAAATCTGCTATACAAACTTGCTAATTTATTGGCCAATTTTGAATTAAGTTAAAAAAAATCTAAACTCTGGATCTTTCTGTGGTTTTCTGGCTGCATTTCTTATCCTCTTCACACTAAGGTGTGCTGGTTGGAAGGGGAGCTAGAGCATGGCAAGAAGTGCTGCCCTCCCCCCAACTGAAATGAGCACACACACAGTTTCTCTCTTTCTCGTAACACCGCATAAGGATGGTCAAATACACCCTCCTGTTTTTCCAGCAAATGCATCATGGAACATTACACTGCAGTTGAAAAGTTAGCAAAGTCAGAAAAATGAAACATTCTCCAGCTACATAACTTTAACGAAACAAGGAGGAAATATTTAATCAGACAGCTGTGAAAGCTGTGGAATATTCAAGATACAATTATAAAACCCTTATTTTGTTTTAAGCCAAATAAATCTTCTTACTTGGTACTCGTTACTGGATAACCTCCGTTTACATTTCTGGCATGCGGTCACGTTATTAACACATCCATTCTCCAAATGATCTGCAAGTTTCTTTCTCATCACCATTTGTCCACAGCCGGTATGGCAAGGGATTAAAGCATATTCACATAGGCTCTGATGGTCCTGAAAGTTGAAAGTTATAAACCAAGATGTAACCCTGCACAGATACGTGTGTCTACAAATGTCCTCCATTCTGCCTGCATGAATCTTCTTTGCACCATGTGCCCTCTGTGAATAGGCAAATTCCCCCACCCCATTGTCTGACACACAGAACTGGGAGTGTGATTCCCGGCTTAAGCTGATGTACTCGTACTAGCTCTTATTGAGCTAGTGCACTAAAAATAGAGGTGTAGCCGCGGTATCAGGGGTGGCGGCAGCACAGGCTAGACACCCCCCAGCACAAACCTCAACCGGACCCCTGGGATCCCTACTCAGGGCAGCTAGTCCATGGCCCCCACTCCCCACTGCCCGTGCTACTATGGCAATGCTAGTACTGTAGCTTGCGTGAGCGTGTCCAGCTCCAAGTGTTGACGTAGTCGCAGCCAGGTCACTGTCCAAAACTCACCTCGCTCCTGGGGCTTTGTTTTATTCTTAATTTAAAACAACACACACAAAGTTGAGTGCGAGCTCTCTCCTGAGCTGGCTTTTAAGGGTCTTCCTTTGTCTCAGCACCAGCCTATCTCCTTGCCTGAGAGACTCCCTGACTTTTTATCTTCTCTGGTCAGAGAGCAAATGAGCAATAATGAGATCAAACTGTTCTGGATGGCAAGATGAGCCAGCAGAATAGCCCTATCCCTCTATGCAGGGTAGATGAAAGGACATCCTGTCACAGCCTCCAGTACACAACTTCGTCATGGTTCGTAACGGTGTTCAAAAGAATTCTTAAATTGAGTTTATTTATCACTATTTGCACTTCTCTCAGCTCATACAATGAAAATCAATTAAGTCTATTTAATTGTTGTCTATAGGGGAATATTTAATTGTTTACAAAATATAATGGAAACATTTCTACTGGCCTGAAGTTCTGTAAAATCTTATTTTACAAAAATCTAAATTTTGAGGCCAAATGTGATCAACAGCGTCCCTTTAACATTACCCTGATTATAACACCTCACTGCAACAATCGCAATGCATGGAGGAAAAGGGTGCAGAGTAGAAGATTTACGTCTACAATATAAATAGTTTGAACTACTGGAACTTTCAGTAATTATAATGGAGAATAACAATAATTTATAAGGGGCCTTGTGCCAAGGTCTCTATAAAATCCTGTAATGCTGCTCAGCTTTAAAACAATCGAGTGTTTTTGAATTTACAATCAACCTGGTTTAATTGTCTAAATCAAAAACTTTTTAGAGCCAGATCCTCCTCTGATGTAAATCAGTGTAGCTTTATTGATGTCATGGAACTATGCTGATTTCTACCAACAGAGAATCTGGCCCTAAATGTTCCATACTTATACAAAACGTTTATTGTCTAGACATTATGGCCCAGTCCGATAAGGTACCAGTGACTCCAGAGGAAGTTGGCACACTCAACACATCCCTAGATGTGCTCAGCACCTCACGGAATTGGGCCTTACACCTTATTTTCCTGATACTTCATCAAGCGTTGAAGCAGGAGTAAAACTAGTTTATTACAGTCTCTTTCACTGAGGCTCTCACACTGACCATGTCACAAATGATTTTTTTTTTTTAAAGCAAGATAACTGTTCCAGCAGTGAACTCAGAAATGTCAATTTTAATCACATGCCTTGTTTTCAAATCCATTTTTCGGTGTATTCATGCTGAGAGAGGTCCTGGCACCTTTTGAACTCTCAGAACTATGGCACTGAGCAAAACGGGGTAGAGTTTTCTTTAAAGGAGAACAGACAAACGGAAAATGTGTGCAAAATTAGCAAATAAAGGAAAGATATGACAGCAGCATCTCTGCGGCTCCTCATATACAGAGACTGACTGCACACCACATTCCACTTCTAACCTGGGTGGAAAGAGGCCATTAGCTACAGCTCCATTTAACTACGAAGCCCTCTTTTGTCCTCAAGATTATGCAGAGAGGGTCAGCCCCCTCTGTGCTATTTACATATTGGCTTGAATTTTCTTTTATGATTGTTGTACATGTAGCAGATTCTGAAACACTGTCTGTCTATTTCACCTTTATCATTTCACATGAGTATTTAAAGAAAGACTGTAACATTCAAAATAAACAGGAGTCAGACAGCTATGTTTTTCTTTCTAAGTCTATTTTCTGTTTCCCTTGTTGTGCCAATATCCCCATAAGCACTGCCTCCCAAATATTACTCTGGGAGATTTATTTTTCTTACAAAAACATAGGAAGCACATTGCTCCTAATAATAGTTTGGAGATCAGGGTATTATGGGCTTCATTGAGGGTTACTTACAAGGTCCTTGCCCATAATGTTATACTCAAACCTACTGGAAAACCTACAGCTGACACACGCATTTTTAGAGAGACAAGGTGGGTGGAGTCATGTCTTTTGTTGGACCAACTTCTGTTGGGGAGAGAGATAAGCTTTCAAGCCACACAGAACTCTTCTTCAGATCTGCAAAACTCATTCAGAGTGTGACTGCCAAACACAAGGTGGAACATATTGTTTAGCGTAAGTAGTTAACACATATTTCAAGGGACCATTCCAGGTGAATGTATTACCTCACCCACTTTGTCTCTCTAATGTCCTGGAACAGACACCGCTACACAAACACACACACATGCATTTTTATAATGTACGCTTCACCATCATTCAAAACATGTTGGGTCTGATCTAAACCCCATTGACATCAATGGGAAATTTTCACTGACTTTCATTCATCACTGGATCAAATCCTCAGCGGGTATAAATTACTATAACTCTTTTGAGCTTCAATGAAGCTTCACTGACTTACACCAGCTAAAGAGTTTGCTTCATTCTCTTTGTGACCCCAATACAGGAAAACACTTAAGCACATGCTTAACTTCAGGCATGTGCTTAAGACACACACATTTATTCATGTACGTAAGTGCTTTGCTGAATAAGGATGGACTGCAGAATCGGGTCCTAAATCCCCATGTTTTTCTAACATCACAGGAACATGCCTCCCTGACACAATGTTCATCCCCACTAGCAAAACCGCACTGCACACTTATGAGACACAATATGGAAGATGAAACTGTCATCTTTAAACTTACTTCAAAATTTTTCATGATACCAGACCAACTGCATCCACGGGTCCCACAGTGCACTTTGAATTCAGAAATCTCTTTATTAATGGCAGCATCACTGAAAGCCTGGAAATTAACAACAAGATGGGCAGTCAAACACTGGTCAATAAAATGATCCAAACAGCAGCTATAAGATGGGAACAGGCTGGGACTTTATACCTTCATAAACCTTGATTTTTTTTCTTTTATGTTTAATCTTCTGCAAAAATATTATTTAGTTTAACGAGTATATAGGAAAAGCCCAAAGGATTGTGAAATTCTATTATTTGTTTCTTATAGCTCAAAAATTAAATGATTTGAGGTGATTTTAATTTATTAAAAATAAAAATGTGCCCTTCCCAGTGAAAACTTTCAGTATAAAGTTTTTTCTTACTCAGAAACCTGAAAACAGGTGTATGCAAAGAATGTGCTGATGGAACCTTAACTATAGAGGACCCTGCCTCATGCCACTCTAATGTATGCATTTAATTATTGGGGTCATTAACACCTCTTTTACCTGCTGCAGAGAGGATTTAAGACTCAACCTGAATGAGGAGCAGGAGGGGGTACACCCTCTCAAACTCAGGCTGTTTCCATTTAGTTTGCCTAGTGTCCTAGAGAAATCCAAACCATACACATGCATTTTTTCCAGCACTATACAGTATTTTCTTGCATTAACTGTGAAGAACCATGCAATAAATAAATAAAACATGAATCATTGCAGCCTTTTAATATCACATCTTGCACAAGCAAAATAGCCACAGTAGAACAGAGTAGCTCAGTGGTTTGAGCATTAGCCTGCTCAACCCAGGGTTGTGAGTTCAATGCTTGAGGGGGCCATTTAGGAATCTGGGGCAAAAATTGGGGATGGGTCCTGCTTTGAGCAGGGGGTTGGACTAGATGACCTCCTGAGGTCCCTTCCAACCCTGAGATTCTATGAAAGAGTTTCAACAAGTATTAGGAACACAATGCCTGGAAGACTGCAGATTCCCCACAGATCAAAATGTGGAAAATCCAGGGAAGGGAGTGCACAAATGAAACAGCTCATCACTGTACTGAGAATAATAAGAGGCTTTCCCTGCTTTCTAGAAAAAAATTACTCCTGTCAGCCTACAACCTCACTAAGAGACAGAGAAGGAAAAGTGGCACCAGTTCATCTACTTCTTCCCTCTTGATCACTATTTTCAAACAGTGCTCTATTGTGTCCAGGTTTAATTAACCCAAGAACAGGGCCTTCACCTCTTCCCTTTGGAAAGATCCTTAGAAAACAATATAGCAATAACAAAGTGCTAACCTGTGCATTATCCATGAGCCCAGGGAACAAAATTATTTGCTCATTTGGTACACCAATTAGAAGCAAAAAGTCACCAGTTCAAAATGAACTGAAGAGATCTGGGCTGTAAGACTGAAATGTCAAGAAACTGTGGAAAAGGGAAAATACTGAGGGGCTCATCCCTTATACTGTAGCAATTGGTTTTCATGCTGTAATTGTACTGTCCAAGCTGTGTTATAACCCGTTTTTAAAAAACACGGTCCTTACACAACGTCTTTTTAGACTGGTTATAAGACAGGTATCATTACAAAAGAGGGAATATTGAAGTCAGCACCAGAATAGCAAGAGATAGCTAGCATAGCAAGAATAGTGAAAGAATAGTGAAAGAGATATTCTGGAAGAATAAATATCTGATGAGAAAGGACATAAATCTGAAGACTACATTCCAACTCTTAAGAACTTACAGGTACATTTGGTCTGTGTGGTGGTCTGTGTTAAATTACGGCTGTGAAACATGGACATTCAAACAATCAATGATAAACTACAATCCTTTGAATTATGGTGAAAATTCTGAAAATATAATGGATAGCTCACGTAACCAAAAAAAAGTATTGGAGATTACTTGAACTCAACAAACACCAGTTAGAGATTTTATGAAAAGAAAGATTTGATTTGCAGGGCACATTTTAAGAGGTTCAGTGGGCAATGCATGTTTACAGGCACTGGAAGAGAAAGCTGACCGCAGAAGAACATGAGGCAGAAAAAGATGACCTGGGATGGATGAGGTGGTAACCTGGGTGGATCAAAAGGTCTAGTCATCTACAATACGATTAGCAGAGGATCCTACAGAATGGGCTACCACGGCTGCAAACCTCCAGTAATGGAGATGCCATGTAAGAAGAAGATAAGATGGTTTAGTTCTGTCTATACAGGTCAAACCAATGTTAAAGAACTATAGTCAATTTCATCGAATAGTAACAATTACTGTTGTAAAAAGAGCAAGAGTACTTGTGGCACCTTAGAGACAGTTCTTTTTGCGGATACAGACTAACACGGCTGCTACTCTGAAACCCGAATTACTGTTGTGAGACTCATTTACATATAGATCTTTGTAATGATTAATATACCAGCAATGCATTGTCAGAAGTTGAAAACATCCTTAAAATATCAGTAAACCGTAAAATTATTTGAGTCCTTTCATTTTAGAAAAAAATCCATTTATATTATTTTACATATAAAGTATTTTTAGACTGCAATCATATTCAGTTCCTTTTTCTCTTTGCAGACTCTTCACCTTATCCAGCAAGCTTCCCTAAAAGGCAAACACTGACAGCGTTAATCTCTGAGCTGCAGGTAGAGACCCATTATCAGCTTTCATGGTCTTTTTGTTGTGGAGGGGAAGGGGAACTATTTATAAGCTTGAAACAAAAATCTGAAATGGTTCCTGTTCCGACATCCCTTTTCACTAATGCAGTTGATTTATGACACTTTGATGATGATGATGATATAACTGGCAAAGTAGGACCCAATCCTGCAACCACTGCTCATGCATGTACCTCATTCAAGTAAATGAGACTATTCACTTGAGTAAGGCTGCAGAATCGGGTTCCAAGCTTGTTAATATTGCTCAATGGCACATCATCTAGAGAATTATTTTCTGCCTCTGCTTCCACTTATAACTTCTGCAAAGGAGTAGAGAGATATTTTCTTGCTTCCTCTGATGTTTCAGTTCCTTGGGCAAAATTACATCAAGACTAGCACCCCTGGGTCTAGCATTTTTACAGATGGGTATTGTGGAGCATCAGGAATTTTTGTGACTTAGCCAGGGTCAGTCAGTCAGTCAACAGTAGACCTGGAAACAGAACTCAGAAATTGTAACTCTTAGTTACTTGCTCTAGAACATTTACACTAAAAATCTTTATGCTTCAAGGCATAAAATGACCACTAGCTGGGGTTGGAAGGAATTCTCCCTTTTGGAAAAGAGCAGTGCAATTAGGCTTATGATGGGTGTTTTACACTTTGTCTCTGAAGCGTATAGCATTAGCTGTGGTTGGAAACAGGATTCCAGACTTAATGGAAGACGGATGCTTTCTGGCATGGCTGTTCCATGTCTCTTGGATGAACAGTGTCCTCATAACTGTAATTATCTGATTAATTAGTTATATTTTCTTTGGTAGACTATTGGTTATATTATTACTGAACCTTGCAATGTCAGGCTTTTATACAGACAAACCAAACTTTATAAATGGGGGGAAATGAGTGGATTTAATCAGTACAAGCAACCTTTCAACAACTTCCTCCTTGAAAATGACATTAATTAGTTAACAAATAGTCACAGTCTTTTAAATATTCAAGAGTTCCAGTAAGGCAAAAAAAATCATTTATCGGGATATAGGGATTTTTGCATTTTGTTGAACAAACAGATTTCATGCTGTTTGTTTTGACCTTACTTGTCTGGTATATGTTCTTACACGTACATGTATTTAAGCAAGAGAAGCAGTCTGTGCTTGGGTCTGTGTTGCATTGATGTCATAAATTGTCCTGTAGTGGTATGGAAATCAGCCATTGCTTGGAAACAGAACTAAAAATAAAAGCCTCAGTGGAATCTATTCCATGAAAAAAAAAACTAGAAAAACGAGAACACTTGTACCTTTGTCTGTACATTTAAAAATAGATGCTTACTGGACAGTTTTCAGTCTGCTTGTAATACATAATCCAGTCTATATTTTATAAAAAGATGATAGTTTGCAAACTGTATGTCCAGGTTCTTAAGAACATAGTTTTTCAATAGTAACACTTACCATTTATAGTGTTTTTCATTTTCAAAGCATTTTACATTGACTAATAAACCATCAAACCACACCCAAAGATACATAAATACGAGTATCCCCATTTTACTTGCACAAGGGCACTGATCAAGTTATTGTCAAAAATGAAGTCAGAATTCAAGAGTTCCTGGCTCCCAGTCCCATACTCAGCCCTCTAGGCCATGCCACCCTCAACAGAAGTTCTATATACAAGCTGTAGTTGCATATATTTAAAGCAATCGTCTGAATTGCACAGGTGTGAATGAGTGCAGAATTTGGCCCCAGTTGCTTAATGTAGATTTTAATTCAATATTACAGTACAGTGCAATTCAATATAGTTACTTCTCTGAATCAACCAGCACTGGCTACTGAAGTCTTTCAGTCTAGTGCATAGCTGGAAAATGACCAAAACCAAAGAAAAGAAAAAGTAGGTTAACAACCCCACTGTGGATTTTTTACTACGTCAAAAAAAAAAAAAAACAACAACAACAACAACAAAAAACACAACTTCAGAATTTCCTGGCATTACAGAACAGATTATTATAAATGTATCTAACTTCAGAGGGACAGTCCTGGTGACACATGGGTTTCTCTAATGGCATGTGTGTCCTTTGTGCTTTCTGTTTCACTCTCACATTTGTTAATCATTATGGACACAGCTCAAGTAAAGAAGCTGTGAGTGAAAGAACTGCAAAGAGCAGGGGGTTCTCACCTCTTCTTTTTCCACCCAGGCCACTCCCTCAAATGATCATTCACTTGAACCACTAGCTCTCGCCCCCCAGAACATCAATGGAAAGTCTTTCAACAGCAACACCAACACAGAACTTCCCCACCCTCACAAAAGGGCCTGATCCAGAGCCCAATGAAGTAAATGATAAGATTCCCATTGACATCACGGGGCTTTGAATCAAGTCCAAGGAGAGAGAAACAGTATCCTCTCTCTCTATTTCATTATATTATGGTTAACCATCTCTTCTCTATCATTCTGGCCAACTGACAGCAATAATGTTCATACCCTTAAATTGCACTAAATCTTTGGTTTGACTCTAATTCCACAGCAAAAGCTCTTAATTGCCTTGACAGCTCTTTCATCTCAAGCATTCACATTTATGAAAACCAAATATATTGAAAAGCGAATAAAACTATTCACTAAGGGTGGAGGGCGCTGTGGAGGGGGATACCACAAGGCCAAAATACCCACCATATTCTGCATAAGGGATAACTTCCTTCTTAAGAGAAGGAAAGTCAGGCCTGAAGCAACCTGCCCCAGACCCGAATATACCTCAGAACTTGGAGGAAGTTCTGATCCAGAGCCAAATGTCACAGTTGTTCTCTTTTCTGCAATGAGTCCAAACCAAAATCCTGGACTTATTCTATGGGTCACGCTCAGCAGGTTCAAGGGGCAGGGTCCTGGCTGCGCCCGGCCTCCCACAATGGGGTCCCAGCGAGTCGTGGGGGTAGGATCCTGGCTGCTCCCCAGCCCCCTGTAGCAGGGTCTGGAGTCCAGGCAGCCGGCTGCCGCCCAGCCCACAGGTCTCAGAATCTGGGCAGCTGGCTGGCAGCAGGGCTCAGGGTCTGGGCAGCCATCTACTGCCCAGCCCCCTGTGGCAGGGTCTGGGCAGCTAGCTGCTTCCCGGCCCACACACCAGGACTCAGGGTCCTGGTACGGTCTGGGGTTAAGGTCCTGGATGCCCCACAGCCTCTGCGGCGAGGTCCGGGATCCAGGCAGCCGGCTACCGCCTGGCACCATACAGTGGGGTCCGGGGTCCTGGTGGGGTCCACTGTCAGGGTCCTGGCTGCCCCCTACCCCAGCACAGTGGGGGTCGGGGTCAGAGTCTCCACGCAGCAGGGTCCGGGGTCGGGGTCCCTGCCCCCCGCCGCATGCCCAGCTCTCCGCACTTGGCCCCACTCTGTGGAGGGGTCTCTGGGTGGAGGGCACTGAGCATAGGGTTTGTGCAGGGGTTTAGGTGGGGGGCAATGTGTTTCTCAACCTGTGGCCCAGCTAACACTAAATAGGTTGAGAACCACTAGACTAAACCAAAATCTTAAGAGGGAAAACTCTTATTGCTGTGGGAAATCCCCGCAAGATACTGTTCAGGCTTGTGTCCCCATTTTATATAAAGTCAAATTTTATTAAAAAGTAACCTATCCTATCATCTTACTTATTCCATAAATCTCTTAACCATCTGATATACCTGTCACATTGGAAAACGCCTTTTATGGTTTAACAGTTGGGAGACAAAGTGAAGGGGAAAAGAAAAAGCAGTAATATTAAAATCTCAGGGGTATATATAACTTTAAAAATACATAGGCTATTGAATGCTTCCTGGCACCATTCAGATAAAACACACAGGGACCATATTTTCTCTGCATTCTCTGCACAAGAAAAATGGAAGGCTTATAGACCTTTTAACAGTCGCTACTTGATGGAGAGGAACAGATGTCACTGGATCTCTGTTGTCACATTCTCAAAAAATCAAACATCCTGCTAACGTGTAATTTACAGAGCAGTCAGTTCCATGCCAGAGGATGCAAACACAAATGATATTCTGAAATTACTTAAAAAACCCCCCTAACAATGCTTAGACGAGTCTCATGTCTTAGCCTGGGTCCCTTCCAAATCAAGTTTTTAATTTAACGAACAATTTTGGAAAAAGAAATCCAACATTGCATCTTTTATAACTCCAGTCATGGAAAGAACAAGAGAAAAAAAATCACATTTGTATTTTAAATACTTTTGATCTTGTTTCAACATCACAAAAGTTCTTCCCGGGACTTAGGCAATTCAAACCTAAATCAGGGGGATCTTAATACACCCACTCAGAGAAGGAAAATTAACCAGTGCCAGTCCCCATGACTTTTTTCAGGGATGGGTCCAATTCTGCTCTCATTTACCCCCTTGTGACTGCACTGAGGATAACGGTGTTCAGAATAAGAATCTGGCTGGAGAACTGGGCCCCACATTCTTATTTCCAGCCAGCATATGACCATATATTGCATGGGTGTAAATGAGAGCTAAATCTGGCCCAAGCCTTTTACAGTCAACTCTAGCCGGTTCCTATGCAGCTGCCGATGGTCCCTATAGAGTGGAATCACTACAGTTATACTGCACAAGGAGGGCAAGATGTGGGGGAGCCAGGTGGGGATGTGCACCCACGGCACAGGGTAGAAGCCTGTGCCAGGCGAGCCCCCTGCGTAGCAGTGTGTAGGAGGTGGCAGCGGGTATAGGGGGATGCCCTCAGATCCTCCCGCTGAATTCAATAAATCATGCAGCTGCTCAGTACCTCTCAGTTAGCTGTAGCACACCGAGGGTCATCAAACAAAGGGGGCAAAGCATCAGCCCAGGAGGCCAAAGGTTACCTCAGTAACAGATCATGGAATAAGCTATTGTTGTTGTGTGGAAAACTTATTTCTCATATTATATACATACATACACACACATAAGCAAACTAATAGTATGCGGGAGCAAAGTCTGACAAAGACACAGGAGAGGTGGAGGGGAGGGCCTTGATAAGGGACAAATGAGCAAACCTGCTAAGGAGTCTA